CTTCTGAAAAAACAATTAGTAAACATCCAGGAAAAAATACAGTTCAATGCTTTCAAAGAGTATAATAATTCTCATCATCTCCAGACAGAATTTTGGGAATACTAGGAATAGCATATTTGGAGGGAATCAGACTAGGGAAAAATTGAACTAGAAACTTTGGAAACTTTTGACTGCTTGTGACTTATACCTATAAGATTCTATAAGAATTCTGATTACAATAAAACTCTTATGCAAACTAAACCTATAGAAAAAAAGAATAGAAGAAAGGTATAAAAAGGGCAAAGAAAAAGAAAAAAGAGAAAAGAAAGAGCAAACTAAGAAAATAATGAAGAGAAAAATACTTATAAAGAAATTACTTCCAACATTCATCAAAAGTATAAACAAACTTAGTTTCAACATATCTTGTTTTAGCCTTGATCAAATAAACCAACATTATATTCCTTCCTTTTACTTCTAACAATCTTTCATCTTTAATTCATTTGAATATTCTAGTAGGATTTGGTTTTTCTTCATTTTTTTCTTTGTCCCATCACCAAATTCTTCAATAGCAATAGCACTTACACTTATATACCGCTTCATGGTGCTTTTACAGCACTCTCTGTGTGATTTACAATGTCAGCACATTGCCCCCAACAATCTGGGTTTTACCAACCTCAGAAGGATGGAGGGCTGAGTCAACCTTGCACCAGTCAGAATCAAACTCCTAGTATTGAACAGTGAGTTAACCTGCAATACTGCATTCTAACCCCTGCACCATTATGACTCTTACATCCAAAGGAAATAATTGTCTTCTTGCTTTGTCATTTGTATTTCCCTTTTAAATTTTAAAACCTCAGTTAGTTTCTTTTGTAGATCCAGTGAAACATCTTTTCTGAAGTCGTTCTCTTTGCCTGTCAGCTATAAGTCTACTTTTGATACCATCTCTAATTTGTTAGATAAAATTTGCTCTATGTCTGTCATTTCTTCAATAACATCTTTTGGACATTGTCTAACCACAGAAGCAGATTATATTACTGATATTGTTGATACTGTGGCTATTATGGATTTGAAACACTGGCTAAAGTATACAGACGGGGTGTTTGGGAGGGGCTCTGTGAGCCTAATAGACTAGTTTGAAGGAATCATAAACTGACATCTTTTGCCAATAGCTTGACCTAGATTCTCTATCCTACCAAATCCCTTTGAAATCAGATCATTATCAACTGTTAGTATCACACACAGTATGAATAAATGACAGAAGAAAATCAGTTTGGCAGCCACGTTTCAGTTATGTTGCACAGTATTTTTTTTTTCTAGTAATGGCAGATAAAAGGGGTCATCCTCCTCTTTTCTCACCCTTGGGTCAATAATTGTCTTATTGTTTTGAATCTTGCCAACAATTTGTTTCTTGAAGCCCCAGTGGCTACAGAAATGAAGACAGCATTGCAGAATACATCTCGATAGCATTTTCTAGTAACCAATCCAGCACACAATTAACGTTAGGAAACACTTTGGATTGATACTTATACTGGTATCCAGGGCTGGGAGACTTTAGCTTACAAGCCACATGCATGTCCCATACTCTCATTGTTCTCAGTTAAATTTCAGCCACGTGTTTCGCAGAGAACCAATGAGAAAATAAAGGTAGTAATAAAAGTGCCAAACTTCTAAGAGGTGAAATATTCCCATTCTCACTTTTACCCTCGCCATCCCCCAAAGCCCTGAAAAATTGACTAAGATACTGCTGGAATTTGGTGGCAATATGAAATAATTTTCGTAAAATTATAAGCACTGGAAGGGATGTGAAAGGCCTCTGTGAGATGTAATAATTTTATTCCCAGCCTCATCTCCCCTCCCTCTCCCCCCCCCCCGAAATCATCCAAAACTAGGGCAAATGACACACACCTCAGTTCGCTCCTTCTGGTAAGGAAACTGTGTCACTGAACAGCCCTTTTCAGCTTGTTAGCCTGTTAGGAAGAGGCCCTTAGGCTAAAATAGTTACCTATTTCCTGGCAAGCCAACGCCTGATCCAGCTCTTCCTACAGCAAAGCATCTATTCTCCTTAGCACAACACTATTTTAGTCCAGTACTTTTGGCAAGATGTTCTGTTCCAACATAATAGACAGGGACTGCTCTATTTGCATTTGCTTTTTTTCTTTTCTGTTTTAAATCAGGGGCAAAGTGTGCTGCAATATCAGTTAGAAGAAAACACTGCAGTCAAAGAGCTAACTTGAAAAGCTTAACAAAATGCTGGCTCAGCACTGCAACACAATGGGTCTTCCTGTTGAATTATGTAGACGGTGTGTGTTTGTTTGTAAGAGGGATGCATAATCAGGTGTTGGATATTAACATAATTCAAAATCACTGTTAGAATTTTGATTGAAGCATTTGGACAAGACTTTCTGCACTGTCCAATTAGAGATCTGCCATAAAAGTATGTTGAAAGCAAATACCCTAGAGAACAGTATCAGGACTCAGGAGGACCTTAACAAGCTGGAAGAGTGAAGATTTTCAAGAGACAGAAGCAAAATCATTCATTTGAGTAAGAAAAATCAAGGGCATTAATATAGTATATGCCAAAAGGATTTTTGATGGCTCATACATTGAATATGAGCCAATAATACAATATAGTTGCAGAAAAAGCAAACATGCTCTGAAACTGCTTCAAATATCTCATCTTTATCTAGAAAAGAAAAATACTTGAAACAAGTTTTTTATTTTTTATTTTATTTATTTATTTATATGGCCCCCTATCTCACACTGGTGCCATATGATTAAGATTATGTTTTGATAATAGATGAGGTTTCAAAATTATCCAGTTATAATACAGCTGAAAGAGTTACTAGTGCAACCAACTTTGAAATGTCCAATAGATTCATAGAAGGCCTATTAGAACTCTATAATATTGAGCAAAAAACTCTGCAAAAGACACAATTCTCTCACAGTGACAGATCCATATCTCTTTAACTACTCTCACCAGATAAAAGTGTCAGATTCAAAGATCGGTCCAAAATAGTAATATTTATCCAGCCAAAGTGATATTGAAAAGCTGAAAAGTTGAAAATAAAAGCACAGAACAAAACATATCAGTGAGATGTAAGGTATCCAAATGCTACTTATCTGAGTTACATGGAATGGTATCTAATCAAGAGCTGGACAGTGTAATAGATCATGTTATGTTGCATGTATCTGTTATTTTACTTAGAAAGAGGGAACGTGACAAAATTGTTATTTACTAAAAAATTGAACCTACTTGGGTTACAGGGATGTTTTTCGATAATCTTTGAAACATGTTGAAATTCATTTTTGTTTGAACTCAAAGTTGAGTCCAAGCTGATCTTAATAAAACTCAGGTCAACTCTTATGTCAACGCTCTCTCATAAATGAAGAACCCATCATTTGATTTCTGGCCCTTCATTCTCCTTTGCTGTCTATTTTTGGAGTAGGTGGACTGGCGATGACAGGAACTGATACTATGCCACTAATTTAATGGCACAACCAAAGTCATATTTTTATTATGCCCTAATCAATCACATATGCATTTCCTTCTATATTTTAATTCAGTAGATTCACATAGAAATGCAAATAGTTTTTTTTTTTTCGGCCAACCAAAATGCATATAAACTTTCAAGTTCTCCAGAACACCTTGTTAGGCGTTCAGATTTTATCAGGGGTGAAATCCAGCAGGTTTTGACAGGTTCTGGAGAACCGGTAGCAGAAATTTTGAGTAGTTCAGAGAACTGGCAAATACCAACTCTGGCTGGCCACAGAGTGGGGAGGGAATGGGGATTTTGCAGTATCCTTCCCCTGGAGTGGAGTGGGAATGGAGATTTTGCAGTATCCTTCCCCTGCCACGCCCACCAAGCCACACCCACAGAACCAGTAGTAAAAAAAATTGAATTTCACCACTGGATTTTATACCATCAACTAATTAAAAATTCAGGAGAATGAAAGTTTACAGATTCTTCTGAGGCATGTTCTTTTAGTCCTAATCTAGGTAAAGTGTAATAGACAATAAAACTTCAAAAATACATTTATTTTTGTTTTATTGGTTAGATTATGAAAATGCTAGACTAGAAGAAGCACAAGTTAGAATTAATATTCCTGGAAAAAAATATTAAGAAGATGTTGAAAATATAACTTTAGTGGCTGGAAGTGAACCAATGATGGATGTTCAAAAGCAATTCTAATGTTCAAAAGCAAAAATGTTAGTGACTGGAAGTAAGGAAACCTTAACTTTTGTTGAAGGTAAAAGAGGAGTGTTCAAAAGCTCTTCTAATGCTCAATCAAGGGTGAAATGCTCCCGGTTCAGACCAGATTGGGTGATCCGGTAGCGATCGTCGTGGGTGGTTCGGCGATCCTGTAGCGATGGCAGAGCAAAGCTCCGCCCACCCGCCTGGGTGTCGTTACTTCCTGGTTTTAACCAGGAAGTAATGTGTTTTTTACCTTCTGCGCATGTGCAGAAGATTTTGTGCATGCGCAGGTCTGCACATGCACTTCTGAACCGGTAAGGAAGATAAGTAGATTTCACCCCTGTGCTCAATATTTTTTAAAAATATGTCTACTTCCAATGCAGTGCAGATTAGTGGAAACAGTAGAGACTTTATCCTCCTGGGCTCAAACATCTAAAAGAATGGTGACTGTAACCTTGAAAAAGTGATGTCTGTTTCTTGGGAGGACAACTATGACAAATTAGACAAACAGTTAAATCACAGAGACTTCATTTTGGCAACAGAGGTAAGTATTTCAAGGTCACAGTCTTACTAATCTCAGAATACAGCTATGAAAACTAGAACATCCAAAAGACTGGATAAAGAAAAATTGATGTATAGTAAGTGGAGAAAATTGCTGAGAGTATCCTGGATCATAAGAATAAGAAATGCTTACACAATACAGGTAGTCCTCCCTTAACAAAAGTAATTGGGGGGAGCAGAATTTTTATTGCTAATTGATGAGGTCATAAAGTGCGATGTCACATGACCATGCTGCTTAGTAACAGAGCTATTGGTGGCCCCGTGGTTAGAATGCAGCATTGCAGGCTAACTCTGCCCAGTGCCAGGAGTTTGGTCCTGACCAGCTCAAAGTTGACTCAGCTTTCCATCCTTCCAAGGTCAGTAAAATGAGGACCCAGGCTGATGGGGGTAATACGCTAATTCTGTGTAAAGCACTATGAAGCGGTATATAAATCCAAATGCTATTGCTAACAGCAGTTCCACCAGTCCCTGGTTATTGTCATTAAGTGAATCGCTATGGATCATTAAGCAAAACCTCACATGATTGTGACTTTCAACTTTCTGCCAGTTTCATCATTGTGAGCAGGGAAGGTCATAAACCATAATCACATGACTGTGGGGCACTGCAGTGGTTGGAAATCTGGAAATACTCAGATGACAGTCATGTGACAATCATGTGGGCATTGTGAAGGTAGAACTTTGAGGACTAATTGAATGTATCACTCATGCAACACCATTATAAATTTGAACAGTCACTGGACAAGTAGTCATTAACTGAAGACACTTGCACTAAAGCAGTGTTTCTCAACCTTGGTAGCTTGAAGATGGGTGGACTTCAACTCCCAGAATTCCCCAGCCAGCAGCACTGGCTGGGGGATTCTGGGAGTTGAAGTCCACCCATCTTCAAGCTACCAAGGTTGAGAAACATTGCACTAGAGTAAATAAAAACAGAAAGTTCACTGAAAGCACTAATAATGAAGATAAACCCAAATATTTGGGATACAATATGGAAGCAAGAGTCTTTAGAAAAGACCCTTTTGATACTTGGCAAAGCATGAGCGTTTAAAAAACTCAAGTCAAAGAAGAGTTATTGATCACTGCTGTGGCAAACTCCTGTTCATCGAATCATAAAGACAGAACTGATTAAACATGAACAAATGTAGAAATCCAAATTTGTTGGGGGAATAAACCCAAAACATCTTCTTTTTCCACTCTTTTTCATACATAAACATTTTCTGCCAAGCCTAGCTGCTAATGTAATATTCACAGCCAGATGTCATTCACGTTGACTCTTTTGGCATTACTTACATGCAGCTCAATTCCACATTTTTACTTCTTTGTATCATTCTCCACAGTTCAGGGTGAGTTCCTTTTTTTTTCTACCATAGGCAATATTCCTTTAAAAGTTTTATTCCATATTTTAGCTCTGGGGCTCTTGCCCAATTAACGATAGAGTTCCTCTCAGCACTTTGAGCCTGTCTCTTTAGTTCTTTGCAAGCATTGTCAGCGGTCATTTTTTTTCTTGACATGATTTGTATAGAATCTCAGAAGAGGATTTTTTTTTTTAATGGTGTCAGATCTCAAGCTTCTCAAATATTAAAGGATTGGAAGTCCATTGGGATTTCATTTAGATAAGAATGAACACAATTTCGATTCCCCTCTAAAGCAGGTTGTACATTCTGAAAGAGGCTTTGCAGATCTGCAGGTGCATTTCTCTTCACTGGAAATCAGTCATACATCCTGCTTTTGTTCTTTTTCAGTTTTTCTGAAGCAGGAATGGGAATTTGCACCCCAAGAATGACTATACCCATTTGCTAATTTTGGCAATGTTAAATTCTGGCCAGATGAGAGGGGAGGACCTGGAGGAAGAAGATAGGCAGAGTGAGGACATGAGCAGAAGGGAGTTGATGCAGACAGGGCAATGGAAAGAAGAGAGAAGCTTTTTCTATGGGTTATCACTATAGACCTCTGGCAGCAGAGGAAGAAGCTGGAGAGTAAAGCAAAATGGATAAAGAAGTCAGGGAGGGTGGAAGCCTCTTGAAGAGATCTCTCTTCTTCCTACTTTCTAGGAAGCCCCCATTCTCACTTTTGGCTCTTGCTCAACCCATAAGCCCATCAATTATATGAGGATATATTGCCCTTAACAGAATAAACTAAGCTCCTACTATTAGTTGGCAGGAATTGACCACAACAAGTAGCAGATTATGGTAGCCCAGAGCAAGGCAGAGTAAACCCATCAAATGCGGAAGGCATTAATTGGTGAGTAAAGATTCTCCATTTTTGGTCCTAAAGATTCTTAAACAATATTATCTCGCATCCAAATCTGAATGCCACATTCTAAAACTGTTCACAATGAAATAAAACAAGCAGAGGGAAGATCCAAGTCCTATATATGATGAGGCCAAAAGAGTCTTTGCTAACTACTAGAAAGACATTAGTAAAATGGCCTAATGAATTTTCGACTGATAATTCCAGTGTGGTATAGAAGTGAAGGTATTGTACTGGCACCAGGAAGACTTAGGATCTACTCCACCCTCAACCAGAGGTGATTTTGGCCAATTTCTATCTCCTCTCTCTCTCTCTCTCTCTCTCTCTCTCTCTCCTCCCTCCCCCCCCCAATCAGCCTAACAGGTTATTGTAGAGAAAATGTGAGGGGGGAAACATTGATATACCATCTTGGGTTAGATGTTATTTATTTATTTATTAGTTATTTATTAAACAAATTTATATAGATGTGCAACTCACACATAGAAGACTCCTGGTGGCTTATAAATTTGAAAATCCACTGCATAATAAAAACTCATATAAATCCTAAATTCCTTTATCTCTTTCCTGTCATCTAGTGATCAACTGGATTTTTGCAGCCAAAGTATGACAGCTTAGCGACCTGAGAACTCTAAATAGGGATTTAGAAAAAATGGTTGTGTGTGTGGAAATACAATACTTAATTATGCATGATTGTACATCTGCATGATTATTAACATTACCATTTGAATATTTAATGCCCTGCACAATGTAACTACAGATGGACTGATTAAAACGAAATTGATTAAAGATGAGCCCATATTTAAAAACATGCAGCCACATTTCTGCTGTACCGCCTAATGAATTGTGAAATTCATTTATGTCCAGCTTTGTATGCAGAATCATATTGAAATGGAGCAATTTGTTGTCTTAGGTTACAAACCAACACATTTCAGTTTAATTCAATAAAGTTTGTTTCTACACTGATATCTCTTAAGATTTCCTAAAAGAATCCTTGGAACAAACAGTTGGCCCCAAAAAGCTGCTTTTCCTGTAAGTCTGTCAACTATTGTCTTGCAAGTAATTACGGTATATCTGACATGAACACAAAAAGAGTTTTCTTGGTGACATTTGAACTTTGAACTATGCCTGCATGAGAAGTAATGGCATCAGAAGGAGGAAAGGCAGATATGAAAGTATTTAGTAAAACCAGATCACTCAAGAATACTTTGGCAGATCACATCTGGATGCCCAGGGCTACAATTGCATTAAAAGTTGAAAAAACAACAATAAATCTTGTCCAAAATGAAGAGTGGACAAAGGGAAGAAAGCCTAAACACAACTCTTTGCCAGTGATTTCATCTGACTTAAGAATATGAATGATACTAATGATATTTGGCATGATAGTAATTCCAAAGAAATTGGTATTGGAAACCTCCATGATTCCTGTTCCAAGGTTTATAAAGGCACAGATGAGAAAACTATGGAAATATAGGACTGTGTTAAGTAAGATTATCATTTACACTTCCTCCCTTGCATTACTTGAGTGACTCCACTCATAAACACAGTTTTAGGCACAGATGTTTCTAAAGGACGGCCTAAACATATTGATCCCAATGCAAATAGACTTCCAGAGAAGCTATAAACCTGATCCTCTGGTGTTGCATCTCCAAGAGAAGCATATGTCCAGAGATATTTTATGACATGTGCCAGTTCCCGAAATGGATGCTGTTTATATGAAGAATAGTATATGTTTCTTTTTCCCAATTAGCATGCCCATTGACCTTGTTGACTAGGAATGATACGATTTGTAATCCAGCACTTATGAACTGACAATCGCATGCAAGGCCTTAGAAACTGGAAGGTGAATTTCCAGTGAGTCCAAGTCTTCCACCATCACCGCACTCACCAGCTCTCATCTAACCGGGATTGATTGTAGAAAAAGAAAAGCAGACGTTCCCTACAAGCAAGAAAAGCCGTGGTGGTGGACTGGTTAGAATGCAGTATTGCAGGCTAATTCAGCTCACTGCCAGGAGTTCGATCCTCACCGGCTGAAAGTTGACTCTGCCTTCCATCTTTCTGAGGTCAGTAAAATGAGGACCCAGATTGTTGGGGGTAATATGCTGATTCTGTAAACTGCTTAGAGAGGGCTGTAAAACACTATGAAGCAGTATATAACTCTTAAGTGCTATTGCTATTGTTATTATGAAGCAGAATTTTGTGTGCAAATGAAAGCACCCTGGAACAAATAGCACATCCAGCTTAGTATTAACTGCTCATCAAGAAAGAAGAATCCTTGGGCAGTTTTTTTAAACTCTTAAAAAAAACATTGGCTGACATTGTAAAACTGGAATAATGTAATGGAAACACTGCAGTGGATAACCTGAAGTATGTTAATGTTTTATGGCTGTCTGAAAATCAAGGGGAAAGTCAAGAAACATATCACTTTCCCGTCACATCCCCAGTCATAGAATAGGAGCTAGCTTAGTTGGGAATTAATCCCCCTTCTGTACTGATGATTGAGCAACCAGAGTCCATAAGTGTCTCTTGAAAAACACTGTCCAGTTTTTTTTTTTACATTAAGTGACATTTTAGGGATCTTAGCATTGGGGAAACAGGCCTGCCTTGCTGCTGTCTTGGCTTTCTTTGGCCATCACTGTTTTAAAAAATTAAATAAAGGGGAGGGGAGTTTGACATGAAATACGAGTACCTTATAGAATTTAGGAGGAGGATCAAGCCCAGACCTTGAGAGACAATAGCTGGTGGGTGGGATGGATATATTTCTAGTTCAGAAGCATGTTACAAATCAAGACAAAAATCACTAAAAACTGGGCCTGCCTTTGTGTCAGGGAGTAATTTGTAAATGTGATTTGTTACCTCAAAAGCCATAAGAAGCACCCTGGGAGGTGGGAGCGGGTGCTTCTGGTGCAGTGTATTTAAGCCTAATTGCTGGAAAGAGAAAGACAAGTAGATGTGAGAGGTGGATCAGGAGAGCATTCTGATGAGAGTGATGTCTTCACTAACTCGGTGGTGCAATGCAGTAAGCTGGGTGGGTAAAACGCTCCGTCTGGATATAAACTGCAAAGAACGACGGCTGTCAGAAATAGCTGCATAAAAATGCTGGGAGAGAGAG